TTGGGGGTCGCTTAAGTACACTATCATATCATCTGTGAATAATGAGAGTTTAACTTCTTTTCCAATTCGAATCCCCTTGATCCCATTATGTTGTCTTATTGCTATTGCTAGAACTTCAAGCACTATATTGAAGAGGTATGGCGAGAGTGGACAGCCTTGTCGTGTTCCTGAGTTAAGCGGGATGGCTTTGAGTTTCTCTCTGTTTAATTTGATGTTAGCTGTCGGCTTGCTGTATATAGCTTTTATTATATTTAGGTATGACCCTTGTATCCCTAATCTCTTTAAGACTTTTATCATAAATGGATGTTGAATTTGGTTGAATGGTTTTTCAGCATCTAATGAGATGATCATATGGCTATTTTCTTTCAGTTTATTTATATGCTGGATTACATTGATAGATTTTCGTATGTTGAACCAGCCCTGCATCTCAGGAATGAAGCCTACTTGATCATAATGGATAATTTTTCTAATGTGTTCTTGGATTCGGTTTGCCAGTATTTTGTTGAGGATTTTTGCATCGATGTTCATGAGTGAGATTGGCCTGTAATTCTCTTTCCTGGTTAAGTCTGTGTGTGGTTTTGGTATCAGAGTAACTGTAGCTTCATAAAAGGAATTAGGTAATGACCCTTCTGTTTCTATATTGTGAAATACATTAAGGAGTATAGGTATTAGCTCTTCTTGGAAGTTCTGGTAGAATTCCGCATTGAAACCATCTGGTCCTGGGCTTTTTTTGGTAGGGAGGTTTTTGATAACAGCTTCTAATTCTTCGCGGCCAACAGGTCTGTTTAGATTGTTCACCTGGTCCTGGTGTAACTTTGATATATGGTATTTATCTAAAAAAGTGTCCATTTCTTTTACATTTTCCAGTTTTGTGTTATACAGGCTTTTGTAATAAGATCTAATGACTCTCTGAATTTCCTCTGTGTCTGTGTTTATGTCCCCCTTTTCATTTCTGATCTTATTAATTTGCGTATTCTCTCTCTGACTTTTGATTAGTTTGGATAGGGGTTTATCAATCTTGTTGATTTTCTCCAGGAACCAGCTTTTTGTTTCATTGATTCTTTGGATTGTTTTCTGTGTTTCTGTTGTGTTGATTTCTGCCCTCAGTTTAATTATTTCCAGTCTTCTACTCCTCCTAGGTGAGTCTGCTTCTTTTTTCTAGAGCTTTCAGGTGGGCTGTTAAGTCTCCAATATGTGCTTTCTCTGTTTTCTTTAGGAGGGCACTTAGTGCGATGAACTTTCCTCTCAGGACTGCTTTCATAGTGTCCCATAAGTTCAAGTATGTTGTTTCTTTATTTTCATTGAATTCAAGGAAGACTTTAATTTCTTTCTTTATTTCTTCCTTAATCCAGGTATGGTTCAGTAGTTGACTGTTCAGTTTCCATGAGTTTGTAGGCTTTCTGGGGGTAGCATTGTTGTTGAATTCTAACTTTAATCCATGGTGATCTGAGAAGGCGCAGGTGGTTACTAATATTTTTTTTATTGCGAAAAGAAGAAAAAAACATAAACAAAAAACAAGTTTCCACCTCCTCCCAGCCTCCCATTTCCCTTCCCCTCCTCCCACCCTTCTCCCCCTCCCCCCACCCTTCTCCACCTCCTCCCACCCTTCTCCCCCTCCCCCCGCTCCTCTCCCCCTCCCTCTCCAGTCCACAGAGCAGTCTGGGTTCCCTTCCCTGTGTTAAGTCCTAGGTCCTCCCCCCTCCGTCCATATCTAGGAAGGTGAACATCCAAACTGGCTAGGCTCCCACAAATCCAGCACATTAAGTAGGATCAAAACCCCCTGCCATTGTCCTTGGCTTCTCATCAGCCCTCATTGTTCGCCATGTTCAGAGAGTCCAGTTTTATCCCATGCTTTTTCGGTCACAGTCCAGCTGGCCTTGGTGAGCTCCCCGAAGATCAGATCCACTGTCTCAGTGGGTGAATGCACGCCTCGTGGTCCCGAATTCTTTGCTCATGTTCTCCCTCCTTCTGCTCCTCCTTGGGACCTTGGGAGCTCAGTCCAGTGCTCCTGTGTGGGTCTCTGTCTCTATCTCTATCCATCACCAGATGAAGATTCTATGATGATATGCAAGATATTCGTCAGTATTGCTCTAGGATAAGGTCATTTCAGGTTCCCAATCCTCAGCTGCCCAAGCAACTAACTGGGAACCTCATCTTGGGCACTAGGGAGCCCCTCTAGGGTCAAGTCTCTTGCCCACCCTAAAGTGGCTCCCTTAACTAAGAATTGTGAATTATTAATTTGCGTGTTCTCTCTCTTTCGTTTGATTAGTTTGGATAGGGGTTTATCAATCTTGTTGATTTTCTCCAGGAACCAGCTTTTTGTTTCATTGATTCTTTGGATTGTTTTCTGTGTTTCTATTTTGTTGATTTCAGCCCTCAATTTGATTATTTCCAGTCTTCTACTCCTCCTAGGTGAGTCTGCTTCTTTTTTTTCTAGAGCTTTCAGGTGGGCTGTTAAGTCTCCAATATGTGCTTTCTCTGTTTTCTTTAGGAGGGCACTTAGTGCGATGAACTTTCCTCTCAGGACTGCTTTCATAGTGTCCCATAAGTTCGAGTATGTTGTTTCTTTATTTTCATTGAATTCAAGGAAGACTTTAATTTCTTTCTTTATTTCTTCCTTAATCCAGGTATGGTTCAGTAGTTGACTGTTCAGTTTCCATGAGTTTGTAGGCTTTCTGGGGGTAGCATTGTTGTTGAATTCTAACTTTAATCCATGGTGATCTGATAAGACACAGGTGATTACTAATATTTTTTTGTAACTGTGTAAGTTAGCTTTGTTACCAAGTATGTAGTCAATTTTCGAGAAGGTTCCATGAGCTGCAGAGAAGAAGGTATATTCTTTCCTCTTTGGGTGGAATAATCTATAGATGTCTGTTAAGTCCATTTGCTTCATTACCTCCATTAATTCTCTAATTTCTCTGTTAGGTTTCTGTCTGATTGACCTGTCCATTGGTGAGAGAGGACTGTTGAAGTCTCCTACTATTAGTGTATGCGGTTTGATGGCTGCCTTGAGTTTTAGTAATGTTTCTTTTACGTACGTGGGTGCTTTTATATTAGGGGCATACATATTCAGGATTGAGACTTCTTCCTGATGAATTGTTCCTGTTATGAGTATAAAATGTCCCTCTCCATCTCTTCTGATTGATTTAAGTTTGAAGTCAACTTTGTTAGAGATTAGTATGGCCACACCTGCTTGTTTCTTAGGTCCATTTGCTTGATAAGCCTTTTCCCAGCCCTTTACTCTGAGTAGGTGCCTGTCTTTTTGGTTGAGGTGTGTTTCTTGTAGACAGCAGAATGTTGGATCCTGTTTTCTTATCCAATCTCTTAGCCTGTGCCTTTTTATAGGTGCGTTGAGCCCATTGATATTAAGTGATATTAATGACCAGTGGTTGTTAACTCTGATCAGTTTTTTAGTAGTAGGGTTTGTGTGTTTTCCTTCTTTGATTTGCGCTGGTGAAGAGTCTCTAGATGTCTGAGTTATTGTGATCATTGTTGGACTCCTTGGTTAGTGATTTTCCTTCTATTATTTTCTGTAAGGCTGGATTTGTGGCTACGTATTGTTTAAATTTGTTTTTATCCTGGAAAATTTTGTTTTCTCCATTTATAGTGAATGAAAGTTTGGCTGGATATAGTAGTCTGGGCTTGCATCCGTGGTCTCTTAGTTTTTGGAGAACATCTATCCAGGACCTTCTGGCTTTCATGGTTTCCATAGAGAAGTCAGGTGTAATTCTGATAGGTTTACCTTTATAAGTAACTTGCCCCTTTTCCTTTGCGGCTCTTAATATTCTTTCTTTATTCTGTATATTTTGTGTTTTGATTATTATATGGCGAGGGGATGTTTTCTTTGATCCAGCCTATTTGGTGTTCTGTATGCTTCTTGAACCTTCATAGGTACATCTGTCTTCAGGTTGGGAAATTTTTCTTCTATAATTTTATTAAGTATAATTTCTGTACCGTTGAGCTGCACTTCTTCTCCTTCTTCTACTCCAATTATTCTTAGGTTTGGTCTTTTTATTGTGTCCCATATTTCCTGAATGTTTTGTGATGAGAGTTTGTTGGACTTGCTGTTTTCTTTGTTCAGAGTGTTTATTTTCTCTATGTTATCCTCAGAATCTGAGATTCTTTCTTCTATCTCTTGTATTCTGCTGGTTATACTTGATTCTGTAGTCTCTATTCGTTTACCTAGAATTTCCATGTCCAGCCGGCCCTCTGTTTGTGTTTTCTTCTTTGCTTCCATTTCAGTTTTCAATCATGAACTGTTTCCTTTATCTGCTTGATTGTTTTCCCTTGGTTTCCTAGGGTATCATTCACTGATTTACTCAATTCCTCGAACTTTCTATTATACTTCTCAACCATTTCTATAAGGGCGTTTTTTATATGCTGTTTAAGGGTGTCAATCACTTTCATGAAGTCAGTTTTTTCTACTTCTTCTTGATTAAGGTGTTCATGTCCTCCTGTTGTGGGGTCACTGGCTTCTGGTGGTTTCGTGTTGTTTTTCAGATTGTTGGGAGAATTCCTGCATTGGCGTCTGCCCATCTCTTCCTCCCAATACTCCCCTTTGGATCTTCTTTTACAGGATCAGGTCTTCTTGCCCACTGATGTACCTTCCCAGTGATGTCACTCCCCAGAGATGTTTCTCCACAATGATGTTTCACTCGGTTCCCAGATCGAAACTCCGCGCTGCTTGGTTAGCTCGCGAACAAAGGGCCCACCCCGCTCGCTGGGGGCAGGCTATGGGAACAAAGGAGCTACCGGCCACCCCTTTGTCTTCCCGGTTCCGGTTCCGTCCCAGCACCCTAGCAGGCTGAGCAGGGAGGTGCTATGCCCCAAAGAAGGGAGGGGGGAGGGAGACAGGGTGTGTGGGGATCTGCATGTAAGCTGAATGGGATAGGAAGAGAGAGGCGGTTTGGGCCGTATATCTCTTAATGCAGTTTTAATGTCCTTGTTCCTCACCCTGTAGATGAAAGGATTCAACATAGGTATGACCACAGTGTACATAACTAGGCCACTGCAATACTTCTTGAAGATTGTGACAGAAAGGAACTGAAGCACACTCTTCGTCCTGTCCCATAAAAGAAGTAAACAATGGACAAATGAGACCCATAGGTGGAGAAGGTTCTGTGCTTCCCACTTGATGATGATGAGCGTATGATGGAGGAAGCTATTTTAAAGTAAGAGGAAATGATTCCTGAAATAGGAAGTAAGCCAAAGAGAGCACCTACAGAGTATCTGACTATGTTACTGGTGAAAGTATCAAAACAGGCAAGTTGAAGTAGTTCAGAAGGGTCACAGTAGAAGTTGGAAATTTCAATAAAATCCTCACAGTTGGAAAAGTTTAATATTGCCACAAAGTGCAACAGTAATTCTGCAAGGCTATGGAGAAAAGACCCTAGAAGTAAGACACTGCAGCGACTGGGATTCATAATGACCTGGTAATGCAGAGGTTGGCAGATGGCCACAAATCCGTCATATGCCATCACAGCCAGAATCATGCTATCCGTACATCCAAAAATTATAAACAGTGACATCTGTGTCAGGCAGCCCACAAAGGAAATGTCTCGGCAGTGAGTTTGGATGTCCATAATCACCCTTGGAACAGTGGTGAAGATGAAACCAATATCAACTATGGACAGGTTGGAGAGGAAGAAGTACATGGGTGTGTGGAGATGGGAGTCAGAGCTTACTGTCAGGATGATGAGCAGGTTTCCACACAGGGCCAAGAGGTCCATGGACAAAAAGAGGCCAAAGAGAACAATCTGTATGTCTGGCTCCACTGAGAGTTGGATGAAATGGAATTCTGGCACAGATGTTGAGTTTCGCATGTTTTTATTTCTAGAACATCTTTTGGAGGAAACCACAAATGCTGTTAACAATGTACCAGAATGCATATGGACCTTCTTTAGAATGTAATTCAAATAAGTACAAATATTGATTATTTTCTCAAGTCTATTGTGACTGTATTAAGAATTACTCAGTTGTGGCAAATGCCGTACTCTAAAATTAGTGTTTTGTTCTTAGCTCATGTGTTACCTCTTATAATAGCCATATTGAAAGCAGTAATCTAACTGATGTGAGGCCACAATTACTGTAAACGACTGTCCTGTAATCCCAGTAAATTAAAGTAAACACGTTAAGACAAATGGATATTTTAGTAGCCTAATTTTAGGAAAATTGTCAATCAAATAAAATGAAAACTTGAAGTACTTAGAGATATTTCTTTTTGTTGCAATAATATGGAGCAAATTTATTTTTTAGAATATATCTGACAGCATGAATAAAATAAATAAAAATTAATAATTCCTACCCAGAAAAATATTTTCAGGTTCCAGTGTCATTTATAGGTTTCTTTTCTCCATGTTTTTAATTCTCTCTCTCTCTCTCTTTCTCTCTCTCTCTCTTTCTTTCTTTCTTTTGGCTTGGGAACTTCAGGCTTTGTTAAAAACTTATTGAGATTTTTTAAAAACCAGTTAATATAGGTATTCCTTATTTCTATTGGTATATTTCAAATTTTTGTAAATATGTTGTAGTTAAATACACATTATCACATTCTATGTCTGTCCACAACTGCTGAGATGGCCAGCGGTGTGAAAAATAATTAAATTTCAATAAATACAGTTCAAAGTTTATGCTGCAAAGCTAATTTGGGTGGATCATCACCACATAATTTCAGTAAAATGTCTGTCATTAAAACATGATTTTTCAAGCCAGAGGGTGGCGGCGCATGCCTTTAATCCTAGTACCTAGGAAACAGAGGGAGGTGGATCTCTGCAAGTTTGAGGGCAGCCTGGTCTACAAGAGTTAGTTGAAGGACAGGCTGCAAAGCTACAGTGACTCAAAAACCAAAAACAAGGAAAAAAACTGATTTTCCTATGTCTATGCAATGCCACTGCTTTTCCAGAGGGAAGGTAGGTTGATGCAGAGCCCCAGATTAAGTCTCCCCACCTCCTCAGACAGTAAAGTGATTTGTATGTGAGTCAGGCCTGGTGCATAGACGTCAATGTTCTTACTTTAGCGACAGAAGAAATTTCAGGTTCACTTTTTGGTCAGAGCATACAGAATTGCTTAAAATATAAAAGGTTTAAAATACAGAAAATTTTAGTGATGTAGAAACATGGCTAATGTAGATACCACTTACCGCTGTACTAAGATTCTTATAGGAGGCAAACCTATTAAAGATTATTTAAATTATATAGACTAGTGCTTTCCTGAAGCAGTTAACAGTGTATGTTTCCATTACTATTTAAAATATCACAAGATCTAGGACTTCATAATCAATTTAATTAGAATATAAACATGGGAAATACTAGATAACATGTATTTAAACCTAATATATGAACCATTGCCTTTGAATACTTTCTGGGATTTAGAAAGTATTCAATTAATACTGTCTAAGTAATAATACTTTTAAAAAGAAACTCACCATTACTAAACCATAAGCCTTTTAGACTATGTGTATCAGATGTGATATTTTACAGAAATTTGAATTATAATGAACTTGGTTTCTTAGTGGCTCTTCATGGTTTCATTGTCTAGTTCATCAACCTCAGTGGCTAACAGGAATTCAGAGAACAGATGTTTTTCCGGTGATATTTCTATATAAATATTTGTAAGTATGTATAAAGAACCATTTTAAATTAACCCCAAACATACTTGATGTTCATTCAGCATTATGCAACACAGCACATGCTATCCCTAAAATGTATTTGCTTACATTGAAATGAGATTCTAAGTCTGCCTGTGAACTTTCCATATCACAGGTAGTATCTGAATCATTAACTCATGGACAGACGTGTATTAGTTTTCAGGTACCATATTTATATAGGAAAAACTGAAAGCTGAGAATAATAAATTAAAGGAGTGCTCCCGTTGTCTTACTAGGAAGACCACAAATCGGCCAGCAGACAGGAAAATCTTGATTAATAGCTCCTGATTAAAGCAGTTCTGGTCTGTTTTCAGAGAACAATGACAATAGCATACATTGAAAATCTCCCCATTTATTCAAACAACCAAATTTGAAATGTTTGTCTCTGTAAAACTTGGTTAATTACTCAAAGTGTAACTTGGGGCTATGAAACAATAAAAGCAAACAGGGATTTCTAACCCTGGCTTGCTTCCATCCCAGAACCTGGCATGCACCATTACTAAGATAATTTCCCCTTGTTAATGTCTAAGTAGTAGAGTGATTTCCAAATGAGTAGGCTTGTTAATTCTGTCACAAAATTATTTCAATCGTCCAATAGCTCATCTCTATTGCTCTATTCATACCAGTAGCTATTTATTTTCCTTATGAAAACATGGTAACTGCCAGACTTGCAACAATAGAAGTCTGCATCTTTAATGTTCACCAGTTAATTATTCCTACAAAAACAGTCAATTTTACCTGAATCCTATTACCCCTTTCTTGTATTACTGTATAAACTATTGGATTTATGATATTATCTCACATAAATAGCATTCACTTTGCATGCTATTCTCATGAAAGACTTCCTTCTAATGTGTGCTGTCAAAAATAACAATATTTACCTAGTTATAGTTCTTTCAAGATAATGCAATAGGGAATGCACTCACACATAGAATATATTTCTATTTGTCTCCAATAGTGAAGAAGTGACTTTGGCTGGGAATCAGTGAATTGAGACATTTATGACTTTTTTCATAACCACATGCTCATATAAACCATATAAACCATAGGACAACAACTCATCTTTATTTTAGTTATTTTTTCAGATTAAAATTACTAATTTTACACAGGAAGTGTAAGTTTGTTGTAGAGTATTTTCAAAGGGCACTGGACCATAGAATTAAGTGAAACTCTAGAGTGGGTCTCCATGTAATACACAAGTTTGACCTTTCATTTCTTTTTACACCTGTACATTCTTCTGTCTTCTGGTTAGAATATGTACAATAATTTTTGGATAATGCAATAATATTGCATTCCCCAACAGAATCAAACACCAAAGAATTTATCTTGGATCAATTTCTACATTCATGAATTTATTGAAAATGTAAAGGAAACCAAATATGTGGATTTCAGGGTTTTGAGAATAGAAAGGGTCTACATAATATTAAAAATATGTATTTTCATATTATATCTATGGCAGCAGCCGTTTATACCCTATGAAACAAAAAAATGAAAGTTAAAAGTAGTAAGTTATATCAATATGCAAAAATACTGATATAAGGAAAAACATTCATACAAAAAATAATAAAAAATATATTGCTAAGGTGTCTCAGAATTACTAATAATGTATCCAAATTCTCATAAACAAATAGAAAAGACAAAACAGCTTAAAACAAATCTGTCATTATTTGATTCTAAAGTACTTTGCTTTGGTTTGGTTTTACTTTCTTATTTGGTTATCTTTATATTTCAAATTATAATATAGTAACAAGATTTCTTCCTTCCATTTCACCTCTTTAAAGCCCCTATATAATTCACCCTAGTCTACTGCACATTCATAAATTTTCTGTTCAGTCATTGCTGTATACAATGTTATATATATATATATATATATATATATATATATATATATATATATCAAGGATTAATAATCATATACTTTTAAGAATATATCTATAACCCAGCTTGCGTCCAGAAACCTCCCCCCCTTTCTGCCTCCCATCCCTCTTGGGGCACTGGGGCCGAATCCCGAGGGCAACCTAGTGGGTGAGAGCTCCTTTGTTTCAATAGCCTGCCTGCAGCAAGCAAGGTAGGCCCTTTGATTAGGTGCTACCCAACCAGCACAGAGATCTGATCTTGGCACCAGGAGAGCCATCATTGGGGTGAGTTTGGGACCGGCAGCAGCAGCCAGGGACAGGGAACTCAGACTTTCCTCATCCTCCCTATACTTCCTGGGCTTCCTGTTGGGCCAATACTCCCAGCATACTGCCTCTCTGTTCCTATCCCACCCAGCTTGCATCCAGAACCCTTCCCCCTTTCTGCCTCCCTTCCCTCTTGGGGCACTGGGGCCGATACCCAAGGGCAATCTAGCAGGCAGGAGCTCCTTTGTTTCAACAGCCTGCCTGCAGCAAGCAAGGTAGGCGCTTTGTTTACGAGCTACCCAGCCAGTACAGAGATGTGATCTCAGCACCAGGAGAGACAACACTCGAGCACCAGGAGAGCCATCACTGGGGAGTGCAATCACAAGGAAGGTACATCAGTAGGCAAGGAGACCTGATCCTGTAAATGAAGATACATAGGGAAGCATTTGGAGGAAGAGATGGGCAGGTGCCAATGCAAGAATTCACCCAACAATGTGAAGAACAACATGAAACCAGCAGAACCCAGTGACCTCACAACAGGAGGACAGGAACACCTTAGTCAAGAAGAAGTAGAAAAAATTGACTTTATGCAAGTGATTGACGGACTTAAACAGCATGTGAAAAAATGCCCTTATAGAAAAGGATGAGAAGTATAACAGAAAGTTTGAGGAAATGAATAAATCAGTGAATGATACCCTAGGAAACCAAGGAAAATCAATCAAACAGATAATGGAAACAGATCAAAACTTGAAAACTGAAATGGAGGCAAAGAAGAAAAAACAAACAGAGGGCCAGCTGGACATGGAAAATTTAGATAAACGAATAGACTACAGAAACAAGCATAACCAGCAGAATACAAGAAATAGAAGAAAGAATCTCAGATTCTGAAGATAACATACAGAAAATAAACACACTGATCAAAAAAAACAGCAAGTCCAAAAAACTCTCATAACAAAACATTCAGGAAATATGGGACACAATAAAAAGACCAAACCTAAGAATAATTGGAGTAAAAAAGGAGAAATGCAGCTCAATGGTCCAGAAAATATATTTAATAAAA